CCAAAGCTGCGGGCGGGCGAGGCTCCGACAAGAGCGAGGCGCGCACGCCAGGGCCGGAAGGTAGCCCGCGGCTGCCCCCTCCTCTCCTCCCTCTCGCTCACGGCTGGAACCAACCTCGCCGGCCCTTCCAGAGCCGGAGCGGGGAGGAGCGAAGAAAAAGGGGCGGAAGTCCAAACAAGAGCTCGGGCCGACAAGGGCTTCGCCTCGGACTTTTCCTTCTTGCACACACAACGCCGCTTTGGTGGGAAACCGCTCGCCGTTCTTGCGCGCTTCTCCAGCCTCCGCCTCGGAAGTGAGTCGCGCGGACGGAGCTTTGGGGCTGAGGAGAAAGGCAGGGACGGAGGGAGTGGGGGGGGAGAGGAACCGTCCCCCCCTTCACCCCCGAGGCAGTGGGGAAAGCTTTCCCGAAATGGGGGGGGGGTCGCGGGAAATAAAAAGGGCGCGCGCGGGGGGGACACGAAAGAGGCTTTAGCGCGCCTTAGAGGAGCAGCGCGTCCGCGCGGTGGGACCGGGCGCTTCCGCGGCACCTTGCAGACTGGGTGGGTGGAGGCGTTGGTTGCTTTTCCCGAGGCGCCGGCTAAAGTTTGCACGGGGTTTGGGGACGGGAAGGGAAACGGGGAGCTGCTGCTACTTCCACCCGAGCGCCCTGGGAAGAACCAGACTAAGCTGAGAGAGAGAGAGAGAATCTTTTCACCGCCCTAACCCGGTGGAGTCCCTTCGTAGTTCCGTCGCAAAAACGTCTCCCCCCCCCGCTTTTTTTTTTTGAGCCGGCCCTTCCCATGGCGTTGCTTTTTAACAGGACGGGCCTTTTAAAGGCTGCTGTAAGGTGTCGCTTCTTCCATTCCCGACCCTTCCCCACCCCCATTTTTTTTAAATCTAAGAGTTGAAAAGAGGCAACAAGTACCCCGTTGAATATGTATTGATGTTATTTTTTTATTTATTTGTCATCATGGATAACATGTACTAATTAATCCCAAGCAATACTAATACCTGTTACTTTTGTACAAGGGTAACAGGTATTAGTACGCTTTGGGATTAATTCGTATTAATATTTGCTTGGGACCCCGAGATTAGTTGTTTGCTCAGTTTGCAGCTTTTCTGCTTTTCTCCCCCCCCCCACTTTTCTCTCTCACCCTCTCTTTTCCCCCTCCTCTCTCCCCCTTCCCTCCTTCCCCCTGTTGGGGGCTTCCCACACCTTCTTTCCTGCCTCCCTCCCCAGCCCCCAACCCATTTCATCACAGCAAGGCTTTTTCCTTAAGTGGCCCTACTGCCTGACTGTTGGTAAATCAGTAACTCGGGGGTATGTTAAAAACTATGAAAATAAAAGAAAATCAGCAGGGGCATTTTTTTTTCTTTTTCATAGTGGGGCAATGAAGTAAAGCAGACGTGTTAGAAATTTGTTTTATTTGCTCTCTGTGCTCCTGATTTTTTTCTTTTCTTTTGGCAGCTGTGACAATCTAGACCCATTCCATATATGTGTGTTTCCCCCCCAACTTTGTAGCTACTTGATATATTGTCCTTCAATGTAAGGCACCAATTGGTAACATTTCTTGAGATGTCTGCTAACCAAGATTTAAGGGAGCTCTGGGGTTTTATCTGTTAGGTAAATTTTGCATATGTTGTATGTGCATTTTTGCATATGTTATATGTGCACTTGTGCATATGTTATATGTGCATAGTTGCACATGTTTGAAGCTACTAATTTCTTCCATTGCTCTTGTTACCGGAAAATGTAAATTTCTTAAAAAGATACACAGACAAGCTTTTCAAGCACTTTTGCTATTTTTTAGTAAATTTCTGAGGAGTGCTTTTCAGTAATACTTTTAGGTGCTATATTAAGTATGAGCTTGTGAGTGGAATAAGAAAGAAGCATTTGGAAGCTATCACAGTGTCATGGAATGGATAGGATTATGTGTTTAAGGACCATTGGTAAATATTTCATATTTGATTAGTTCCAGTCTCTCCCCCCCAAGACCTGCATGCTAAACAATATCAAAATGATATTTAAGGCTAGAAGAAAAATATTCCACTTTGCAAGAAACTTTTTAAAGTGTTTCATTGATGCCAAGTAACTATTGCCCTGAGATAGACTATTTATAATATTCTCCTGTGCGCTGCTTGGGGAATCCAGTAGCCTAGAGACTGAGTTACGTAATTGTTGACCACGCCTCCTCTGACTGGATAGTTCAGTTTTTTAACTCAGTCCAGCCTAAAGAACAATTTGCTCTAGGACTATTAGACAAATTATCTCATTCTTCAGGATTCCTCATGCCTTAATTGATTACGGGTTAAAGCAATGAAGCGCGATTCTGATGATTGTAAAATAGCTCAGTCACATGACTGACATGATTTTATAATTTTTCCCCAAGTGGTTGTTAAGTGAACCCAATGGTTGTAAGTCTGAACACCATGGTTGTTAAGTGAACCCATTGCTCACTATGGCATGGTTTTGCCAACAACTGGAAATAAGTGCCAGTTTTTGGCAAAACCATTGTAAAATATCACAATTGCAGGATGCTGCAAACTACTATATATATTGGTTGTGTTGCCAGCATAGCATAGCACAGCACAGCACAGAACACAGAACAGAACACTTTATTGGCAAAGCGTGATTTGATACACAAGGAATTTGTCTTTGGTGCATCTGAGGTGTCATGTGACTCTGGGGGACGGCTGTCAGAATTTTGGATCTGGGTCATAAGTCCCTTTTTCAGGTAGGTTATAACTTTGGTTCCTAAATGACTGATTATAAGTCAAGGACCACCTGTATTTATTAAATGAAATGTGAGATAAAAACAAAGAGTATTACTTGTAGAATTTTTTCCAACTCCTTCATAATAGCTATGCTGGGGTCACATGACCACAAAGGGTCTTAGAATGGGGGTGCCCACAACTTCCAGAGATAAGTTCAGTTGTTTTTTTCTCCGGTGCCTAGTCAAATCTGACCCATTTTCAAGCTTAGGCTTTTGCTGGCTTCTTTCCTCACAACAGATTTGGTCCGTATTTTATTCACTTTTCAAGAATTATCCTGCCTAATGTATGGACAGAACATGAGCCCCTTTCCATAATTTCTTTTTAACATTATGTTAATTTGGAAAAAACAAAAACAAGATAAGGTAAATATGGAGACCATTCCTTCCTGGAATTTCTTACAACCCCTTTGCTAGCAATGGATATAAAAGCTCCTGTATTTTCTTTGTTGTTATGAAATAACAGGTACCATATTTTTCAGAGTATAAGACGCACCGGAATATCAGACGCAGCAAGGTTTTGAAGAAGAAATTTTTTTAAAAAAAGTTTGCACACTGCAAACCACCTGTTTTCACGAAAACCAGCCGGTTTTTTTGTTTTAAAAAATGGCATGAATAGCCCTTAGGAAGCTTGTTGAGTGCTCCTGGGGGGGGGGGATGAGCAAAAAATGGCCCGTTCTTCATGAAAAAGGGCCCATTTTTTTGTCAAAAAGAGGCATAGATAGCCTTTAGGAAACTTATAGAGTGCTGCTGGGGCGGGGGGGGGGCAAAAATGGGCCATTTTTCGCTCATTTTCAGCCTCTTTTTTGAGGGAAAAAGGTGCGTTTTATTCTCCGAAAAATACGGTACATTTGCATAGGTACATTTGGAAGCATCAGACAGGCTGTATATCGTCCATGGTGGGTCATAACTATAGAAGGGAAACTACAAGTGGATGGGTTGCTTAGAATGGAACAGTTGGCAACAATTGTAGGGGCTGCCCAACTGAATCTCTCTGCTAGTTATGCACTGGGAAAAGTATTTTGTGAAAGGTTTTCCTTCACGGCCCCTGCAATGTTATTTGGCCTATTTTTGAACTCCAGCTTTCTTTTGCTGGCACTTCTCTCTACACTAAATTTAGGCCCTTTAGTTTTTGGACAGTTATTCTGTGATAGCTAGACAGATATAAACCGACCTCTTCTAATTTATTTCCAACATTCTGTTGGGCTGGAAAGACTAAAAAGCTTATTTGGCATAACTGCTTATTCTTTAAGTCTGCATTCAGAGCCTTCAGCTAAGTTATAGTGTGTTTTGATCGTAAATCATATTTTGTGGCTTAGTGCAAGGAAGAAACCCAGTCCTTCTCCATCACCAGAAGATGAACCAATGGGAAAGAGTTTACTACTACCTCTTCCTGATAGAGAGTAGAACTTTTCTGCTTTCCAAAACAAAATTCTGCTTTCTAGAGCAAATGGATGGAAAGGAGATTCAGGGAACTAGCGATCGGATTACTATGACACATGCCATCTGTAATTGTGATGTGCTCAGACTGAGTTTCAGTGAAGAAAAGGCCAAATTACACCCTATTGAAATCAATACTTGCAAATGAAAAAGAGAGATTTCCTTATAGAAGGAGGAAGAAGTCTTAAGCACCTCCTCCTAGCAGGCAAAGGTGGAATTAACACTTTCCTATCGGCTTCCTTTTTCAATGACCAATATAGTTTAGGTCACAGTCCTGACATACCCCTCAAGGCATGTTATATAATATATGTCTGTGTATGGTTAATTATATTTATTTATTTATTTTGTCATGGTGTATATTGGAGGTGGTGGCCCTTTGAGAGCTGTAGGCAATGAAATTTCATTTAATGTATGATGATCAGTGTACATTTAAAGTGACAATAAAGTTATTGTAATCAACTTACCTTCGCTACCGGTTTGCAAATGTGAGTGCACGCGCACTTGCTTCGCTGGCATGTGCCACCTATCATCTGTGCATGCGCAGCGCATCAAAAACTGGACGAGATGACGCCTGGGTGAGTGGGCGGAGCCTCCCACTGCCACCGCTACCGGTTCTCCCGAACCAGATAGAATCTGCTGAATTGAACCACTGCTTCTATGGATAAATAAGCCATGACTTAACCTTATTAAGGATAGACCTCCATGCCACAATGGAAGCTAACTTGAAATTGCTGGGGTTCTCGTCCTTCGTAATTTCAGAGCTGCAGAGAGAGTAGGTTTTCAGCCTACTCTATTTCAAGCAAACCTCAGGTGTTTTCATAATGCATCCACGTAAAGCATTTCCACTTTGTAAGAGAATTAAATACTTTTCCTAGAGGTAGAGTCATGGATAGTGTTAAATTTAAATTGTGGCTATTGTTTAGAGACCCTAGTTAATCTAGAGTCTCTAAACAATACCCATGACTTCAATTTATTTTACTCCTGAAATCTATTTTCAGAATAACTTTGCTCAAGGAGGAGAAGAATGAAAAATAAAAAGATGGATGGTAATATATTGATGAAATTACATGTTTTTACAATTTGAGATGCAAACATGTTTGTAGGTTTTTTATATCCTCAATTTTCTGCTGATAGTGACAATATAATAATATAGTGTCATATAGTAATGCAACATTGGCACATTTGTGTGCATATGTTGGAAGGAAGGGGCAATTCAAAACCTGCAGAGGAATCTTCCGAAACTTCATATGAGTTGAAAGCTGAGAACTGCTAGTTCTGAAGAAGACATTATTCGTTATTTCAGTGGCTATCGTGTTCTTTTTTGCATGAAGACTGTAAAAAAGGAATCTCTTCTCAAAAACCAGCTCAAGGTTAAACATGCCCATTTTTCTTTTGAAACATGGTGGAAAACAAGGGATCAGTCATTCTGCCTCTGAGTAGTTTGCATAGACAGGAGGAGAGAGAGATCTCTAGAAGAAAGAAAATAGACTGGTTTGAATTATACTTTCTGCTAAGTTGACATTTGTGCTTTCTTTAGTTCAGGCTAGCCTGATGTGTGAATCCAGTCATTATGGCTTATTCAACAAATAATTAAAACACCCCCCCCCCCTTTTCTCCCTGTGGAATGTTCAAGATTCCTGAAAGGACATATATAAAAGCTGATTATGTGGTTGTCCAGTATACATTTTGAGGGAAGCTTCCTGGTTTCTGTAATTGTCCTAGATCAGGGGTGTCAAACTCTATAATCATTGAGACATACACTAGGTTGTGTTTGACCTCGGAGACCGGGGTGGGCATGGCCAGCTTGCTGTTACTCACGTCGGGGACCGCTTGTGGCCTGAGCGCTCTGCGAGAGAGAATTGACTCCTGTGCTCCGTTTTTGGAGCAACCCTCTGCCAGTGAAAACGGAGCTCGGGAGGGCCGTGTGCAGCCCTCTGCCAGTGAAAACGGAGCTCGGGAGGGCCGTGTGCAGCCCTCGTGAGCTCTCTGTTTGCTGGTAGAGGCACAGCGGGCTGGTCTTTTGCTGTTTCCAGGACAGCCCCGCAGGCCGGATCTAAGCATCCTGCAGGCTGGATCTGGCCCACAGGTCTTGAGTTTGACACCCCTGTCCTAGATTGTATATGTCTTGCATTAAGTGTGTTAGCACTGGTTAGTGCAGTGTATGAACCCAGTCCAAACATTAGCATCTGAATTAATTATTTTGGATGTTCGGGTTGTGTTTTTAGCATTCAGAATCTTCAAATGTCTCTTACAGATTGTTCCCCTGGGAATTACAGCATAACTGCAGAAGACCATGAATAACTACAGTGTTTCACTGGTGGGTCCAGCTCCTTGGGGGTTCAGACTCCAAGGTGGGAAGGACTTCAACATGCCTCTCACTATCTCTCGAGTAAGTATGTTTAAAAAGCCTTTTAAGTATCACCTAGTATATCATGTAGTCCTTGAGTTATATCAGTGGTGAGATTCAATTTTTTTTACTACCGGTTCTGTGGGCGTGGCTTGGTGTGTGTGGCAGGGGAAGGATACTATAAAATCTCCATTCCCTCCCCACTCCAGTTAGTGCAAAATCCCCATTCCCTCCCGATCAGCTGGGATTCAGGGGGCAGAGAATAGATGGGAGCGGAGCCAGTCAGAGGTGGAATTTACTGGTTCTCCAAACTACGCAAAATTTCCGCTACCCGTTCTCCAAAACTGGTCAGAACCTGATGAATACCACCTCTGACTTATATCTACAATTGAGCCCCACATTTCTGTAGTTAAACAGGAAAGTTGTTCCGTGAGTTTTGCCCCATTTTACGATCTTTCTTGCCACAGTTGTTAAGTGAATCACTGCAGATGTTAAGTTAGTAATAGGGTTGTTAAGTGAATCTGGCTTCCCCACTGACGTTGCTTGTCAGAAGGTCGCAACAGGTGATTGCATGATCACGGGACACTGAAACAGTCATAAATATGAGTCACTTGCCACGCATATGAAGTTGGATCACAAGACCACTGGGAATGCTGCGATGGCGTAAGTTGAAAATGGTCATAAGTCACTTTTGTTAGTGCCGTTGTAACTTCAAACTTCGGTCACTAAATGAACTGTTGTAAGTCGACTTCCTAGAAAACTTTGGCAAATAAAGTACCCTGTTTCCCCGAAAATAAGATCTCCCCAGATTATAAACCCAATCAGGCTTTTTAGCATGTGTGCTAAAGTCCTCCCTCCCTGAAAATATTGTAACACAGCATCAGCCACAAGGTGACCACGCTCGCCGCCTCCTGTACCTCAAAAATAATAAGACTTCCCCAAAAATAAGGCCAAGCGCTTATTTCAGGGGTCAAAAGAAAATAAGACCCTGCCTTATTTTCAGAGAAACATGGTATTTTAATATCAATATTTTTGTTGGTTGCTATGATGCCTCCTATGAGTTATGCAGTTTTGGGATTTAGCTGAACTTTAAGAGAAGTAATGACTTACTGGATATGTCAGGAGTGGACGCTTAAGTAATTTTTCTTGCTTAAAATTTTATTTCAAGGACATGCTCGATTCCTGTTGCCCTCCACTGAGAGGAAATGGGCTTGGTTCATACTCTGGGTTAAGACCTGTGAGACTTGCCTAGTTTTGGTTTGAAGTTAATCCAACTATTAATGGTAAACTGAGGTCTGTGGCTTAGTGACAACTAGTGTGATTAATTCCATTAAATGTCTAAAACACAACATGGATTTGTTGGATTTACACATCCAGACACAGACTTTGTTAAAGTAAGTGTGTGTGTGTGTGTGTGTGTGTGTGTGTGTTTGTGTGTGTGTGTGCAGACGCACACCCGCTCTTCGAGCTTGGTTGTGTTCTTGCAGATGTTTCATTACCGAAATTAAATACAGGTAGCCCTCAATTTATGAGCACAATTGAGCCCAAACTTTCTGTTGTTAAGTGAGACATTTGATAAACAAGTCTTGCCCCATTTTATAACCTTTCCTGCCATAGTTGTTAAGTGAATCACTGCAGTTGATAAGTTAGTAAGCCAGTTGTTAAGTGAATCTGGCTTCCCCATTGACTTTGCTTGTCAGAAAAGGGGACTACATGACCGCGGGACATGTCATAAATATGAACCCGTTGCCAAGCATCTGGATTTTGATCATGTGATCAGGGAGATGCTTGCAAAGGTCTTAATTGTGAAAAACGGTCATAAGTCACATTTTTCAGTGACGTCGTAACTTTGAATGGTCACTCAATGAACTTTTGTACCTCAAGGTGATAGCATCATTGCTAGATGATGCACTAGCGCTGATGATGTTACCTAGTTTTGCAGAAATGTCTGCAAGAAAATATTCAAATTCTGTCATCAATATCCAAATTCCGGCATCAAGGACTCCTCTTTCAGCCCTGAGCTACAAATATTCTGCTTTATCAATGCACATGTGTTTGGGGGGGGGAGCTGCTTTCACTGAACATCCTGTATCAGTCAAGGAGGTGGTTGGAGATTGACTGCTGAGGGAAGAAAACTGTGACCTAATTTGGGCTGGGCCGATCACTAACTAGGGAAAATCCTACATTGCTTGAGAGAGACAGAAATGTGGCTATGGCTTGGGAAAGGGCAACTCTGTGCCGCCTTTAGCCAGAAAGCGTTTCCTGTTGCTATTTCAAGCTACCGCATTACTTTTTGCAAAGCCTGACGCTTTCAATAAAAAGGAAGCTTAAGTTACTATGTCTATAAAAGGGCCCTTATTGTGTGTGATGATAGTCCAACCGCAGAGGAAAGCACCCTGACCTTCTGAGAGCAAGCAGGTGGCTATCACAGACAAAGGAAATATGAAAGAAATGCAAAACGAAAATGTCACCGTTTAAAAAAAAATTTTTTTTCAGGGAGTCAGTGCTTTCAAAGAAACTTCACTGAGATATTTAAATTCGTCTTAGATTGCCTAGTTTTTTGTACTTTGTAAATACTCTCTTTAGAATAAAAGATGCTATTTTGCTCCCTCGTTATCTAGTTAAAGAAGAAATTTATGACTTCATTGTTTGATTTAAGGAAATATAGCTAACTAGCAACCGATTGAACAAATCTATTGAAATGCACTCCCTATTGTTTTGTAGCTTTTTTCAAAATTTTACAACCCCCCCCCCCCGCAATTCAGAATACGATGTATATCATGATAAAGTTGCTAGATCACCAAGAAGGGAATCTAGAACCTAAAAGTTTAAAATAGTTTCAAATATAATATATATTATCAGTACTATATGTTATCAATAAGTATCCATAACTATCTTGTGGATATGCTGAAGTAAATTTGGGGAGTTCACACTTTTTGTCTGTTATGAATAGATCTGGAAAACAGATGAAGTATATTATGTTAGTACCAAACATAATGTTTGGAATTCATTCTGTTTCTGAACATATTTAGAACGATATTATTATAATATTTTTTTGTTCTTTTTGTCCAAAATGGTTTATTGCTTTAAGAATATACAGTGATTAATGCTTGAATCACTAAACATTGATTGTATATCTCTGTGTTATTGTATCTCTCTTTCTATATCTACCTACCTACCTACCTTCTATCTATATGATATTTGTATCTCTATATTTCTATTCCTATATCTATTTATCTCTCTACCAATCTATCCATCTGTCTTATCTATTCATCCATCCATCAGTCCATCCATCCATTCTTTAGCTATCATCTATCATCCATCCATCCATCCATCATCTATCCATGCTGTCTATCTGCCTGTGTCTTTCTTTCTTTCTTTCTTTCTTTCTTTCTTTCTTTCTTTCTTTCTTTCTTTCTTTCTTTCTTTCGTTTGTTCTTTCGTTCGTTCTTTCTTTCTCTTTCTCTCTCTCTCTTTCTCTTTCTTTCTTTCTTTCTTTCTTTCTTTCTTTCTTTCTTTCTTTCTTTCTTTCTTTCNCTCTTTCTCTTTCTTTCTTTCTTTCTTTCTTTCTTTCTTTCTTTCTTTCTTTCTTTCTTTCTTTCTTTCTTTCTTTCTTTCTTTCTTTCTTTCTTGTATACATTCACTCTATATAAATCCCACCCACACTTGCACTGATGAAGTTATCTGGTTGGTTAATAATGGGAGATGCTATATTGTCCTCTTCTTGTCAGCAAAAGAAGAAACATACGAGTTTGTTGTTTTATTTAAGGAAATATACCTAACCAGCAACCGATTAAACAAATCTATTGAAATGCATTCACAATTGCATTCACAATTGTGAATGCAACCAACCAATCAACCTCAGAGTGCCAAGGACTTCACAGTTGAATCTCGAGCTACAGATACTCTATTCTGAGGTTTGGGGCACTCATGCAGGAAGCTGTGATCACTTATAATATACTCTCACGATAGAGAAGAGAATGTGTGTTTCTAACAACTTTAATAGCAGTAGCATTTAGACTTATATACTGCATCACAATGCTTTACAGCCCTCTTAAGAGGTTTACATAGTCAGCATATGCCTTAATACTCTTCAAAACAGTTGGACTGTTATTTGTGTTTCAAAACACTGTTCTCAGAGCCTACTTACTCTTAGGCTCTGAGAACATGGGGCATCCTTTGGAGGATCAAAAGGATACATTCCAACTGGCTGATCTGAGGGAGAAAAAGCTAAATAGGATCAGAAAGTGTGGTTGTACATCGCCAGGAAATCCCAGGGCTGTAGGCTTGTCTGGGAAGCTGACCAAACTATATCCTAAATATGTAAACAGTGTGTATAACTGTCCCTCTCACCACTCTTGATTAAAGTTAACATTTAGTGTTCCTGGGCACTTCTGTTTAGTCTGGAAATAATGTACTTCATTCTGGTATGCCAGCCAATTGATTCTTTGATAGTAGAAGGGAACTAGGTTGTGCTTCAGCTATATCAGAACAGAGTGTTCTGCATAGCACCTTCCCCTTCCTAATACAATCAGAAGTGCTGGTAATTAAATGTTGATAGAAATGCAAGACCAAAGAAAAAGGACTGTTTATGTTCTCCCGCTGTTTGTTGTGACCTTCTGAGGTTTGGGGCACTCATGCTTGAAGTCGATTCTAGTGTGTGAATGCTAGTTATTTTTATGGCCTTTGTTGGGAGTTAGCATCAAAACACTGGTTCAAGCAGTTACGTTTAAAAACAACAGTAAATTGAAATTAGTTTCTGCTACCCATGAAAGCATCTGCCATCCTTAACTTAAACTTCTAAATCTAAAATTCTATCACTAAAATATACCAATTGCTTTAGGGTTGAGGTTTAGTAGAATATAGTAGTGACTTGTTTGAAATAGAAAGCATGATCTTAACTTTGGTACTTGGGATTTGCATGAATGGCTGATCCAGTGGATTTGATGTATGTTAATTGTACATTCATGAAAACGCCAGAGCTGTTGTAGAAAATTAGCACACATCTCTCTCCTAGAAGAATGAAATATTTTGAGGAATATTTTAAAAAGGCAGGATAAAATATTTCCCCTAAAAGAGAAATAAAAAGAATCTTAAGGGAGACAGAAACTCAGAGCTTTAGCTCCCTGCCCCCAGCAGATATTTTATGCCCATTAAAAAAGACTGGGCCAGGCTATCTACAAAACGAAAGACCTTCAGCTCCAGGGTGAAGGGATTAAGACATGATCCTTCAGGACATAATAGGATTAATCCACTAAAACACAGAGTTTACTATGTTGCATAGTCTCCTAAAGACATTGCACCACCCTCAGGTTCTCAGACAACCTACAGCCAGCTATGATCCCTACATAGTCCCGTGGGATTCTGACAACAGCCAATAGAATACATGTTCTTGCATAGCAACAGGAAGCCCAAGTGCAAAGCTCAAGATAAGGTATAAAACCCCCTCACTCTCAACTCCATGTGGTCAGCTGCACCAGAATTTATGTGGTTCTGCTTCATCATTAAACCATCTTTCCAGTCAGACTCCATGTTTACAATGCCTTTCTTACGGTTTAGAACTGAACCAGATGGATATTTCTACCTACAAATTATTATGAAATTATTTACCTCCATTCTTCTTCCAGCAAGTTTTCCTAGGCCTAATGTGCTTTGTGGTACAAGGAAAAGATGGGCTCATTGGATGAAAAAGTCAGATGTACATCTAGAAGACCGATAAAATAAGGTTTAGAATAGGCAAGATTGCTGCATCCAGTAGTAAAGCTTTGTAGAAGCATACGCACAAGGAGCACACAGAAGAAAAGGGAATTGGATATAATATAACTGCGATATGCGTTGTCATGTTAACATAACTAAATGTCCACAATTGATCAAGTCTTTTTAATCAACCTTCCTTACATCTTTCAGATATGGAGGCCTTCATTTCCCAGGATACTGAGCCAGTAGCTCAAAGTTAGACCAATGTGGTCTAGTGGTTAAGGAACTAGGCTAGAAAGCAAAGAGATTCTGAATTCAAGTTCCACCTTAGTCATGAAAGCCAGCTGGGTGACTTTGGGCCAGTCATTCTCTCTCAGCCCAGATTTTTAAATATATATTTAGGATATAAAGATAGGTGTGTTAAAAGATCTATAACTAGGTTAGGTCCTTTGGAAAGAGCTGGACATTAAAAAGGAATTAGCTTTGGAAAATAATTGCTACTTGTTTTATTAACTTTCTTTTTGACATTTTAAAATAACTTAGTAATAATTATATCCCAGTAAGGATTGTTCTTGGAAATGAATGGAAGATTGTTATTATTATTTTTAAAAGAACCATTATTAATATCAAATAAGTAGGCTCCCGGGTTTTTCTTAATGTGTCGAAGAGTAGCTATGTTCATTCTGACGCTCACAGTTTAATGGACAACAGTTGTTTAATGATTTTCTCACACTTCGTTGTTTGGAAGAAGGTAATGTGCAGCTGAAGTTCCCCCCCCCCCCCCAGTCACAGCAGGTGATGTCAACCAACCTTCCAAAAGCTAAGCAGGACTGTAAATTGTAACTGCTGGGGATGGGAAACCATCAGGAATCCCCACTGCTGTGTAGGATAGTCTTGGATGCTAAAAACTGTTTCTTCCCTACTGTTGCCAAGAGCTGCTTGCCTGGATACCATAAACTTGCTTTTAGGACAGCTTTCTGCAGCTCCTCTGGGTTGGATCTGTATGCAGTCTTGATAGAAGCGCTGCAAAAAAATTACACACACACACAGACACAGAGAGAGACAGAGACAGACAGACAGACAGACAGACAGAC